ACAGCAACAGGAAACAGACACCGAGGCCCTTTGCCTTTGAGAGTGTGTGCCTTGGGCTGCCCCAGTCCATCATTTTCTACTTGAAAGATCTCCAGTGTGATCATGTAGCCACCCTACTGGACATTTTTGTAATTACCACTTCCCACCTTGATTACTTGATCCTCCTCCCCAACCCTATCATGTTCCACCTGCCACTCATATTGTGGGTAGAATATAAGGAATTATGATGTCACACACACTAAAAGCTATTCCATCCCACTCCTAAGAATGGGAGCGGGCCCAAGTGCCTTCAGGCACCTGGGCAGTACAATGAGTCTGTTTTCTAGATCATCGTCTGTTTGCAATTATTATACCCTGACTCCCCCAGCATCTCTCCTCAAAGAATGGGCTGCAAACTGGCAGTGCTGGCCTCACCGGGGAGGGGACTGGTTAGAAATGCAGGATCGAGGTTCCAGACCACACCTCCTAAATCCTACTCCACCTTTCAACAGAGTCCCAGGAAGCTTGTTAACATTTGACAAGCGCTGGCCAGAAACTACAACCCAAGGATGAAAAGCTCATGGTTTGTTTGGGGGTGCATATCCTGGCAGCAAGAATGAGGGGAAGGAGAAGTGAGGCAGGGCTAAAGACAGGGAGCAGTTCTAGAGGATGCATCGTTGTCCTGGCCGCTACTTCTTGGCCAGCTGCACAGAGCCGGCTGGCTGATCAGCAGATGAGCCCGCTCATCCATTTTTGACATCCCTGGACAGAAAACATAGAGAATGTTCCCTCTCCTACTTCTTACCAGCCAAAGTGAGAAATAGCTCATCCCTTGTGCTTCCAGGCTGCATCCTCCAGTCCTGGTGGCAGCACTTGGGAAGCCATATCTCAAACCCACCATACAGCATTTCACTCAGAGCAGGACCAGCTGAGTCTCAGCGCAGCTGCTCAGCCTGGCTGTGCTGGAGCCCCGAATGGTTTGGATTTTGCAGTGAGGGAGAATTTTCATCTGAAGAGCTACAGTGCAAAAGGACACAGCCCACAAATGGCCAATGGCGTGGACACCTTTCACTCCGACTTTCACCTGGGAAGCCCCAGAAGTCCCTCAAGACATTAAAGGGGAAATGTTATTCTGGAAGAATCTTTGGTTCCTAGAGATATAATCAAAGGCTGTGACATTGAGGAAAGGACCTACTTCTCTAAGCCCGATTTCCTCATCTGTGACAAGGGACAAAGCTGGATTCCGTTAAGCCAGCCAAAGGAGGGAAGAGCAGAGCAAATGATGTCTCCCGGTGCTCCCTGAGTCAGCCTGGTGAGCTGGTGGTGTGGAGCTCTCCTACCAAGAGGCTCCGTGAAAAGGCAAAGAGACCTCTGTAGCGGTGACAGTGGACAGTGCTGGAAGTGACACAGCACTCCCTGGCCTCCCCGATCTTCCCGCCCCATCACAAAGCGGCACATACATGCTCAGGTACTGAAGGAAATTCTGCCTCAGTGTGCATACAGCTGGTGGTAACTGTGTTACCAATGACGTATGACATGGACGTACACAGACCTGAGTCCCACACCCGTCTGCCCAGGCTGCCGGTCATGGCGCCTTTCGGGGAACGTGGAAGGGCACCTCATGTGGCGAGGGAGCAGGAAGAAGGCGTGCCACTCAGAGGCTCTTCACTCTCACAGTGTACCCCAACTTCCCACTTGTGTCCCACAGGCTGTCCTCATGCTGGAAGAGGAAGGGAGGGCTCCGTGACCAATGTTTGATTCATTCCTAAGGTCCACCCATTCGAAAGTGGCACTAGATCACCATTGGCCAAACTGCTTTGTCTTGCTTAAGGAGATGTGTTTGCTAAGGGAAGGAATCAAAGCATCCTTACGAACAGAACTTACTGATACGCACAAAGTGGAGAAGCCCCAAGGCCACTAGCTCTAGAATAACTCTTACTCTCCCTTTCCTCAAGGAAAGATAATCTGGGAACAGTCCCTGGAGAGCTCTCCATTGTGGCACTCGTAAATCATCCTGAGATATAGGCTAAGAGATGGAAATGCTAGTTACCCTAGTTTGATCATTACATGTTGGATAAATGTACAGCATTATTGTACTATACCTGTGAAACATGCACAAATGTTGGGTGTCAATTTTAAAAATACAAAATCTATGAATGTGTCAGAAAGAAATGGAAAACCTCTAGCTCTGAAGCTGCCCCTCAGCGATATTCAGTGCAAAGCAACTGTTAGCCTGAGCTCCAAGATGCAAGTGTCCCTAGGATGGGCAACGGCCCCGGGCAGCACCACGAGCGGCGGATGAGAAGTTAATGAGGGGGTTTCAGGGTGGCGGGTGAGGGGCAGCAGATGCAGTAGGGACCAGGTCCAAACCCAGATTTTCTCCCCCAGGCTTCTTGCCAGAGGAAGACTGTGGGAGGCAGCCTGTGCGCTGGGAAAGGACAGAGGACTCCGCCAGAGTGGAAATGGTCCCCTTTGAGAAGCTGGGGCAGGGAGTTCAGCGTGGGCTTCTGCTGTCTGCTGGGAGTCAGGACAGAGTACGGAGAAGGCAAGAATTGAGACCCACCCAGCCCATACTATTCCGGAAGACTTTAATAGTGATTTATAAAATATTAATGTGTTCCATTTACTTAGAGGTTTATAATAAATAACCCTTATCCTAATAAGGGTTAATAACCCAAACTGTTACAATAATAAGCACAATTAACCATATTGTTTTTCTTAGATTCAACTCTTAATGACTCCCCTGGGAAAACGCTTGAGCGCGTTGCACACAGTTATCTCACGACTGTTTGTGAAACTGCAGGGGAAGGTAAGTGGATTTTATGAAAAGTCTGCTCCCCTGCAAGAGAGCTCCCAAATCCACACGGATCTTAAAAAGAGTTTAAAATTAAAAGCAGACACCATACTCAGTGTTAGGTGTCACAGATTATATGGTAATTACAAAAAGTTTAAGTCAATTTTTCCAATGAAGCTGGAATTTTTTTTCCAATGAACACTTGGGAAAACATTTGGTGCCCGTGAACGGTCATTGCCTGCTTTTGACTTTGAGTGGCTGCACTTACAAACGGCTGTGGGTGGTTTCCTGTGATCTTAGGCACTGCCTTCATGGCTTGTCATGTGGAAATTCACCCAGCTGGACGTGGGAGCACAGGTGACTGTGGTACACAGGGACGATCACGGGGCTGCTGTGCTTGCTGATTGCAGCCATCAACCCCTGTCCAGTTAACAGAGACTCATGGGACGGTCACCATTCTGGCTCTGATTGCTACAAGATAAGCAAAAAATGAAAAGAGACTATCACCCACATTGCTTTTCCTATCTCACAGCAAAAGGGGGCCCCGTTCCAGGCCCAGTGGTGGGAACACAGCAGGAAGGGAAGCTGGTGGCCTGGAAACCGCAAGGAAAGCATCCCAGGTTGGTGGCATTGGAGCTGGTATTGAAGATGTCCAGGGGGCCGGCGCTGTGGCACAGCGGGTTAACGCCCTGGCCTGAAGCGCCCACATCCCATATGGGTGCTGGTTCTAGTCCCAGCAGCTCCTCTTCCAATCCAGCTCTCTGGTATGGCCTGGGATAGCAGTAGAAGATGGCCCAAGTCCTTGGGCCCCTGCACCTACATGGAAGACCGGGAACAAGCTCCTGGCTTCTGGCTTGGGACTGGCACAGCTCCGGCCATTGCAGCCATCTGGGAAGTGAACCAGCAGATGGAAGACCTCTCTCTCTGTCTCTACCTCTCTCTGTAGCTCTGTCTTTCAAAAAAAGAAAAAAAAAAGTTAAAGTCTTTCGTGGGAAGAAAGAGAGGATCCCAGAGACAGGATGTCCCTGAAGTAGACCAGCGGGAAGCTGAGTAAGGTTGAGAAGTTCATGTAGCCACAACCCAAAGAGAGGGGCAGAGGGTAGATGGAACAGGAACAGGACACAACAGGCAGAAGGTAGAATGGAACAGACCCAGTGCATAAGGTCTTGAATGCCAAGCTGTGGGCTGGAGTTCAAGAAGTAGCACAGGTGAGCATCTGCCAAGAGCCAGGCATTATTCTTGGCGACCTCATCACTGTTGAAACTTCACAGCCACTCTCTGAAGTATAAACTCATCGTTCCTGACGTGCAGGGCAGGAGACAGGCACAGAGAGCACAGGCACTTGTCCTGGGTCACACAGCTCCAAGGAAGAAGGACCGGGACTTAGTGCTGCAGACTGTAGGGATCGGGCAGTTGAGGGGCCTGCTTCCCAGGGGTGACCGTGGGGACACAGCCAGGGGCACAGCTCACTTGCCTTCTACACTAGGTGCAGGGCAGGCATCACACAACCTGATGCTCGAGCCCTATCTGGGCATCCCTGACCAGAATCTGAGATCTAGGCCCGAGAGAGTGCATTTTAATTAAGATTCACAGGTGTGGGGCCAGCATGGTCGTGCAGCAGGTTAAGCTGCCTGTGATGCCGGCATCCCATATCGCAGTGTTGCTTCTAGTCCCGGCTACTCTGCTTCTGACCCAGCTCCCTACTGATGCACCTGGGAAAGCGGCAGAGGATGTCCCAAGGACTTGGGGGCCTGCCACTCATGTAGGTTTCAGGCGTTCTAAGCTCCTGGCTTCAGCTTGGGCCAGCCCCAGCCATTGTAGCCATTTGGAGGGTGATTCGGCAGATAGAAGATTCTCTCTCTCCTTCCCTCTCTTTCTCCCTTTCAAGTAAATAAAAATAAATCTTAAAAAAAAAAAAAAGAAAGAAAAGAAAAAAAGGATTCACAGGTGAGACCTGCTGGGAGGTCCTTGGAAAGCCACACCCCTGTGCTTCCTATTGGCTGGACCAGGGAACTGGGGCCCAGAGGGGCCACCACGGCTGACCAAAGAGTTGATGTGAGATGACAGTGATGTGACCAACGGAGACCACTCTGGAAACCCTGCCCTCTAACCAGTGTCCTTCGGCCACGGTCAGGGTGGGCGGGGTGGGGATCCGCCTTGATGCTCCGGAGGCTGACCCTGCCTCCTCAGGAGCAGGACAAAGGTCACCGGTGAGAGAGGCCCCAGAGTGGGCGGGCCCCAGCTTCACATGCCACATGCCATTTGCCGTTATGGCATCCCACCCCACTCCACCCCCTTCTATGATGAATTACCATGCACTCAGCGTGTGACATCTGCGCGTGGTAAACCAACACACATTCACTCCCTTGCTGCTCTCGAGGGCCCGAGTCTGAAGTCAGCCTCATAGCCGGGAACTCGAGGGTCAGCAGGGTGGTTCCGGGGAGAACCCGTGGCCTTGGCTCTGCCCGTGTGTCGAGGCTGCAGTTACTCGCCGCTCCCTGGCTCGGGGCCACACCGCGGCGCTCCCCGCTGCTGTCGGCGCGTCTCCACTGTGTTGTGGTAGCTCCTAGCCTCCATCCGTGGGGGCTATCACCGCTCACGGGGCCCATGCACACAGAGCAGGACGATCTCGCCATCTGCTCTCCGGTTCAGTCGCTTCCACAAAGTCGTTTTTCACCTTGGAGGACAACCCAGGCACAGGTTCTAGGGACTGGCATGTCAACATCTTCAGAGGGTGTGGAGGGTCCTTATTCTTCCTGTAGTTCTTGTGATGAGAAAAATCACTCTCTTTTATTTTTAAAGATGTATTTTATTATTTTGAAAGACAGAGTTACTGAGAAAGAGAAACAGAGAGGGAGGTTTTCATCCGCTGGTTCACTCCCCAGATGGCCGCAATGGCTGGAGCTGCACTGATCTGAAGCCAGGAGCCAGAAGCTTCTTCCAGGTCTCCCACATGGGTGCAGGGGCCCAAGCACTTGGGCCATCTTCTACTGCTTTCCCAGGCCATAGCAGAGAGCTGGATTGGAAGAGGAACAGCCAGGACTAGAACTGGCGCCCATAAGGGATGCCGGCACTTCAGGCCAGGGCTTTAACCCGCTGTGCCATAGCACCTGCCCCAATCACTCTTTTCAATGTTCTTGCCATGGTGTTGCTCTCTCCATAAGAAAGTCCTGGAGTGGTGGCCAGTGTGGCTCAGCACTTCCCTAATTCCTACAGATCTCATGTGCTAGGTCTTCCTTTCTCTCTGTCTCTCTCTCTCACTGTCCACTCTACCTGTCAAAAAAAAAAAAAAAAAAAGTGAGCAAGCTCAGGCCAGAGCCTTCAGCAGACCACATGTGCTGCCTCAGTTTTCCCACCCATACAATGGGGATAATTGCAGTCTAGATAATCCTAGGGTTCCTGCAAAGACCAAATGAGATCATTCAGGTAGAGAGTTCAGGCTGTGCCCAGATTCTATTTACAGCAAGTGATACTGATTACTGATGATTCATTTGAAGAAGTCTATATGGAATTCATCTATTTTTTAAGAAAAAAGATTGATTTACTTATTTGAAAGTTAAAGTTACAGAGAGAGAGAGAGGGAGAGAGAGAGAGAGAGAGAACTTTAATCTGCTGGTTGACTCCCAACTGGCTGCAATGGCCAGGGCTGGGCCAGGCCAAAGCCAGGAGCCAGGAGCTTCCTCTGAGTCTCCCACATGGGTGCAGAGGCCCAAGCACTTGGGTCACCTTCCATTGATTTCCCAGGTGCCTTAGCAGGGAGATGGATCGGAAGTGGAGCAGCCAGGATTTGAACCAGTGCCCATATGGGATGCCAGTGCTGCAGGCTGTGGCATAACTCACTATGCTGAACACTGGCCAGAGCTGATGCTGTTTAAGACAACCAATTCATATTTGCTCAGTAAATGAAGGAATGAATTATAGCCACGCATTGCTTCAGAGGCATTTCCTACATGCATGTCCCTCCAAAAGTTTAAGAAAAAATGAAACAAAAAGATGTTTATTTTGGTGCAAAAAAAATGGAAACCCAGGAGCGGACATCTGGTACAGGGGTTAAGATGCCCCTGGGAAAGAAGCAGCCACCAGAGAAGGAGGCACTTATCTCTGAAGGAAGTTGAGAGCTTCCACTTCGCTTATGCATTGTCAAGCCAGTGGATCCAAAAGGCTTCCGTAGCCGAGGCAGCTCATGTCAAGAGCCTTGGGTGATCACTGATGTCATACATTGGAGTGTTGTTTGTGAGATAAACAAGAGTCACTGTGCACTAACTCCCCATGCAGGACCTCTGTCCCCAAAGAGCTGTATCGTGAGGTTTAACAGTAAAACTTGTTCTCAAGAATCACTTCCATTTAGTGTATTAAATACTATGTCTCATAAGTTAAAGTTCTAAGAGCTCACAAGAGATGTACCATCCTTGGATTCTTCTTTAAAGACAATTAAAGAAGGGGGAGGGAGGCCGGCACTGTGGAGCAGTGGGTTAACGCCCTGGCATGAAGCGCCAGCATCCCATTTGGGCACCGGTTCTGGTCCAGGCTGCTCCACTTCCGATCCAGCTCTCTGCTGTGGCCTAGGAATACAGTAGAAGATGGCCCAAGTCCTTGGGCCCCTGCACCCACATGGAAGACCTGGGGAAGCTCCTGGCTCCTGGTTTTGGATTGGCGCAGCTCTGGCCGTTGCGGCCATCTGGGGAGTGAACCAGCAGATGGAAGACCTCTCTCTCTCTGTCTCATAACTCTGTCTTTCAAATAAATAAAATAAATCTTTTGAAAAAAAAAAGGGAGGAGGAAGGAAGGGAAAAGAGGAAAATTAAAAAAAGAAAGAAAGAAGGTGGCCAGATATTCCTGGGCGAAGTTCAAGGGACGCAGTGACCCTTTACAGTCACAGCACAGAGACTCTGGTGCTTCAAATACAACTTTTAAATATAAAATGAATTTCCAAAAAAAAAAAAAAAGAAAAATAAAATAAAATTGCTATACTTAAAAAAAAGAAAAAAGATGCTCCTGAGATGCCCGCATCCTGCAGCTCTCTCCGTTGCAGCTTCCTGCCGCTGGGCACCCTGGGAGGCAGCAGGCAATGGCTCAAGCACTTGGGTCCCTGGCACCCACAAGAGGAGAGTGCCCGAGATGGAGCACCTGAATGCAGTGGGGGAAACAGCGGGAACAGAGCAGAACCCCACGACCAGGCACAGCAGCGCAGGAGGAGGGACAGAGCCACAGGAGAAAGCAGAAGTGGCACCGCCTGGGCGGAGCCCATCTGTGGGGTCCCTCACGCGCGGGCCGTCCCCAGCCCCACACCCAGGCAGCTCAGCCAGGGGCGTTCCCAGGAAAATTCAGGGTCACTTTGCTTCAGAGAAGAGACTGTGTTGTCCCCTCCTACAGCCCCCAGAGCACAGGCTGCAGCCGCGAGAAAGGAGTGTGCGTCGGAAGCCGTTGTTCGCTGGGAGACAGACGCCTTGGCACACCTCCTCCCCAGGGGCCCCAAGGACACTCCCAGGGTCCAGTGAGGAAGACAGAGTCCCACAGGTCCTACTAGGCCCGCAGAGCAAGGGCAACCTGGCACCCTACACCTCAGGGGTCTATGGGAGCAGGACAGCGGGGGTACCCAGCCCCTAGAACCTTAGACAAGGGGGTCCCTCCTCCCCAGACTTGGGGCTTGTCCTTGTCCTTGACCACTTGAAAAAGCACTCCTTGAACTTGAACCCGTGCCCACCGATACTGGGTCAGGACTCCCATCTACCCACTGAGGCTCAGAGCTGCCTGCTCACCAAGCAGGGTTCTTGCAGCAGGCTATGAGTGTGCAATAGGCGGTGTGCTCACACTGGGGACACGGTGCACATCTGAGAGGGCGTGCACGCTTGCTCTGCACAGTGCACCCAACGGCTTGCAGCACCACTACAGGGAAGGGCCTGCAGACCCAGCTTCCGGTCCCTCCCACTGGCAGTAGCTCGAGTTTCTGCACCTGCCCATCCCTGCCCATCTCTCTGGGCTCTTGACCCTCAGTGCTGCTCCCTTGCTCAGGGCTCCAGCCTGCGCTCTCTGCCCCACCAAGCCTCTCATCTTCCAGCTTGTGTTCAGGGCTCAGACCTTCCACACCGCACTCAGCCCAACACACCACTCACGCGCTGGGAACATCTCAGCTCAGGACTTGGTCCTCCAGGTCTCCCCATGGAAGCTCCAGGTGTCTAGGTCCTCTGCTGAACAAGAAAACAGGTTAGTGTGTGCTGCTGCTGCTGGCTAGTAGCTCAGGCCAGGGACACCTGCATCCCCCCCAGCTCAGCTCACAGTCCACAGAGGGTGGCCCGGGAGAGAGCTGCAGCCACTCCATGGGTCCATGGGTCTACTCCCATAGGGCCATTTTCTCAGACAGCCCCAGGGTGCCTGCCTCCCCCACTCAGCATGAGCACCACCCTTGGGGCTCTGAAGTCAGACAGTGGCTGGGAGTCTGGGGGCCCAGCCCACTGCTAGAGCCAGGCTGAGCTCCTCACTGGCGTAGTGGCCAAGGGTCTGCACCAGGCTCACTCACATCCCCCCGCAGGGCCTACTTCCAAGATCAGAGGGCCTCCCGACTCCAGCTTCTCCCTGGGGAAACGCCTGTGGACCTGCCTGACAGGTATCCCACCTGCTGCCCTGGGCTTCAGGAGCACCCAGGGTCCCTTCCACTGCCACCGTCAACTAGAGCAGAAGAGGTACAGAGTCCATCAGAACCAAAGCCAAGGCCGCCCACCACGCCGGAGTGCTAAGGGGCACCCACCCTCAAAGGAATCCTCTTTTTTAAAAGTGGGAGAAACAAGATTCCCAAGAAGCACAAGAAGGAACGAACGTAGGAACACAAGAAATGTGACAAAGCAAGACAATGTGACACCCCAGGAGGAACAAAATAACCCTTTAGTATCAAGCCAGGAAGAAAGGGAGATTGATGACATGCCTGATAAAGAATTCAAAAGGGTGATTACAAGGTTACTCAAAGACATACAAGAGAATACAGATGAACAGTTAAATAGGAAATCAGCGCATGATATAAAAGAAAATCAGCAGAGAGACTTTGAGAAAGAACTAAGCACGGATACTAGAAATGAAGACTCAAATAAGTCAAACAAAACACTGATGTCCATACTATATAAGGATCTCAAGAAATTCAATAAAAACAAAATAATCTGGTTAAGAAATGGACAAAGGATCTGAACAGAAATTCTTCAAAACAAGAAATGCAAATGGCAAATGAACAAAAAAAATTGCTCAGTACCATGAGCAGTCAGGGAATTGCAAATAAAAACCATAATGAGGGACCCTCAGTCCAGTGGAGATAATAAGTGCTGGTGAGGGCATGGAGACAAGAGGACCCTGGTACACTGCTGTTGGGACTGCAAACTCACGTAGCCATTATGGAAAACAGTACAGAGACTGCTCAAGAAACTAAAGCTACATCTGCTAGATCTGCGATGAAACCCTCCTAGCCCACTTTGGGGACTGTACCTGAAGGAAATGGAACAGACACCTGCACCACCGTGTTCACCGCAGTACCATTCACAACAGCAAAGGTGTGCGGTCCACCCGGACGCCAGCAGTGGATGAGCAGGTGAAGAAAACCGGAGGGACTGGCACTGCGGCACAGCGGGTTAAGCCGCCACTTGGAACACCCACGTCCCGTATTGGTGTCCCAGGGACTGAGTCTCATCTGCCGTTACCATCCAGCTTCCTGCTCAAGGGTGTGCTGGGAGGCAGCAGGTGATGGCTAAGAACCTGGGTCCTGCCACCCCTGTGGGAGACCAGGGTGGAGCTCCTGGCTCCTGGCTTTGGCCTGGTCCAGCCCTGGCTGTTACAGGTATTTGGAGAGTGAATCAGCGAATGAGCTCTCTCTCTCTCTCTCTCTTTGCCTTTCAAATAAATGAAATTACATAAACCCCTTTTAAAACAGAAAAGGAAATGTGATATATTTACATGTGGAATATTATTCAGTCATAAAAAGAATGAAATCTTGACATTTGCAACAAAATGGTTAGAATTGGAGATTATTATTCTATGAGAAATAAGTCAGATACAGGTACACCTTTTCTCTCCTATTTGGAAGCTAATACATATATAGTAAAAAATCTTTGTATGCCATATTTTGATATACAGATATTAGTAAATGTTGTACGCACTGAATTATACCTCTGAAGTAATAATAGACCCATCTTTCCTCATCTTACGATCTTGTCATTAATCCCTCATTATGTAATATTACTACATCTGTCCATACATTCAAAAACTAGTAGGTGTATACATAATACTTTTTAAAGATTTATTTATTTAATTGAAAGTCAGAGTTACAGAGGCAGAAGGATAGAGAAAGATAAATCTTCTACCTGCTGGTTCACCCCCTTAATGACCCAATGGCCAGAGCTGCGCTGATATGAAGCCAGGAGCTTCCTCCGGGTCTCCCACACGGGTGCAGGCACCCAAGGACTTGGGCCATCTTCCACTGATTTCCCAGGTGCATTAGCAGGGAGCTGGACTGCAAGTGGAGCAGCCAGGACTTGAAACAGCACCCATATGGGATGCCAGCATTTCGGGTGGTGGCTTTACCCGCTACACCACAGTGCTGGCCACAGTATATATAATATTTACAAATGACGTGAATGTGGGAAAATGTTAAAAATTGTCAAGCTATGTATACTTATTTCACTCTACTCTTTCAGTATTTGAAATATTTTAAAATAAAAAGACACGCAAGATCAAAAACAAAGCAAGACAATGTGACTTTTAATGGGGTTTTGTCCCTGTCTCCTGTTAGCTGCAGTGCAGGATTTTTTCCTCCTCAAAATTGTGCTTAAAACCCCGGCTTGGACCAGCATCTCTGGTTTGCCTCTCTTGGAGCCCCACTTCAGACCACTTCAGCAAGAGGTTTCTGACATATAAATCTTGCCTTTCTCTCTACAAAAATAAGAAGACAAAAAAGAATTGGCCACCAGGGGGCGATGTTGCCCCATGTTTCTTCACTTTGTCGCTCGCCAGAACCAAAGAGCCACGGAGCACCAAGATCACCTTCAGCCAGGCTGCCACCCAGCCAGATGTCCCAGAAGCCCCGAACACCCCAAGACCTGGCGTTCTCGAACAGTGCTGCCTGGGAAAGGGGCAGCCGAGCTAAGGGCTCCTTGTCACGCACAGAGAACAGCAGTAGACGGTGTTGAACCAGGATTCCTTATCCTCCTTTACAGACAAGGAATTGTCACAGACAAGGCCAACTGATCCCTCGCGCTCTCACCCCCATCCCGACCTGTTTCCACTCTGCCAGGCTCCCGGGCACCCTGGGGCTCAGCAGCTCGGTGTGCTTCATGTGTAGACAGGAGAAAGAGCCCAGGAAGCCAGCTGCTTCCCAAGAGGGACTGGGGAAGGCAGGTAAGGTCCGTGAACGGGGGGTGGGGTGGGGGGGGTGGGGGGGCGGGCAGCAGCCTCTCCCCCACCTTGGCTCCTGTGAGAGCTGCTGCTTACCGAGCGTGTACCACGTGCCTGGCATTTAGTCCTGAAAGCATCACTCGCAAGTAATTGGTCCTCTCTATTCCCCGGATGGAAACCGAGGCCCAGAGCCACGGGCTGCTCTCTAAGGCATCACAGTTCTAAGACTGCAACTCAGGAAGTGTGGTGCCAGGGTCTGAGCTCCGTGCCCCTTGGCCTCCGCCACTCTCCGACGTGCAATGGCCGCTCATGTGCCTGTGAGAGCCTGCTCCATCGCGTGAGTGGGGCGGGGTGGGTGCTGAATCTTAGGTTCACAGTGCAGGCCAGAGAACTAAGCCATCTACTGTTCGTGAAAACACACATCGGAGGACACCCAGCCCTGTGAGATCAGAGCTCTCAATCAAGGAGCAGCACACGGCCCCAGGAGACCGCCCAGGTCTACCACCATGCGGCTGGGAGCCACCCATCCTCCCTGCAGGGGACTAGAGCCAGCAAAGCTTCTGACTGCTGGGCACACGCGTGGATCTCTTCAAAAAGCTCATGGCAGACACATGCTTTGAAAAAGTAATGCATGCATTTAAAAAATGCTTTGCACCAAAGTGAACTCAAATGTCAATCTAATGTTCCATGAGCTTTTTGGATTAGTCTCTGCAGAAGGAGCAGCAGGCCTCTCCTCCTCCCCAGGGTGAGGTCTTCCCGGAGTGTAAGCCCAGGTCGCAGGAGGTGGTGACACGGTGCTCTGGCCCAGAGCCTCTTCTTTTGCCAGTGCAGGGCCTCTGGCACCCGGGAATTCACCACCATCCTCGTGCCTGGTGGCTTTTGCCAGGTTCTGGGTCCTGATGATATATGGTATCATTTTTCCTTTAAAATCCACAAGATGGGACACTGGCTGTATTCTCATTTCGTGGGCAACCATGTGGAGGCCTTGGCAGGTTAAGAGACATGGCCAGGATTGACAAGGAGCAAACAGCAAAGAAGAAACTTGATCCCAGCCTGCCCAGTCCTCAAACCCATTGCCCCCCCTCCCATACCCCAGCTTGGGGCTCAACCTGTGGTCGTTCTCAGAGTTCTCAGTGAGGGTGGCTTCCCTGTGGACGGAGTATGCAAATGACACCCCAAACATTTCCCAGGCTTGCTCAAGCTCCCCACCCACCACCACCCAGCTTTTTTAAAAAATATTATTATGTTAGCATTTTCCCCCCTAAAATTGGGCTAGATGTGTCTTCTCAAGTTTGAATTTTTACCTCCTCAAAGTTTCACCCAAGTCTAAAATCCACAAAATCACCCTAGTTGAGAGGCCCCAGGAACAAACAGGAGGGCCCCAGGCCCACAGCTCCCAAACCTCGCCTGGGGAGTGGGAACAGGGGGGCTGCATGTCCACCCCAAGGGCAAGGGGTGCTTTGGACACAGCTGGCCTGCAGGCCAGGGAGGCTGGGCTCACTGGGCGCCGGGTGCAGAGTCACTGTGTGGGTGAGATCTCTGAAGACAAACCACGCTGTCTCTGATCTGCGGGGAGTCCGGGTCCTGAACTCGTGCGACTCTGGGTCCTCTCTGACCATCATCTGCCAAGAGCAGAGTCTGGCTCTACTAGGAGACTCCCAAAGTCCCTGGGAAAATGAAAATAAGCTTATTTTAGGTGCAAAGCCTTTTTTTTTTAATCCACGCGTACTTTTCTTTCCACATCACGACTGCTGCAAACTTTTCAGACTCCTTGTACAGCGGATGGCCCCTCTGACTATTCCTGCTTACTCCTTACGTCGTAACCCGTCACCCCGTCCCTGCCCACAAGTTGCCAAAAGGGGTCAATTCACTCATGAGGAGGCAACCTCGGGTGTGCTGGGGGGACTCAGCAAATGCACACTGACTACAACGCTGACTATAATACTTACTGTATGTGCCGCCATGAGCAACACGGGAAGTGATTGACGTTAGTGGCTAACGGCTCACACCTAACACATGGGTTACATACGGGCCTCAGCCCCATTTTCACCTGAGACAAGCCAGACGGCTTATTCTGCACCAAGGCTGGGATTGGTAACCGGGGCCTGCTGATGGCAGAGCCAGGGCTGACTACATCTCTACTGCAAGAGTATCATCTCGCTCTGCCCTTTCTCATCAACCCCAACTGAGTCGTCTCTGTGCCTGCCTCCTGTCGATCACGAACCCCAGAAACTACGAAATACCACATCCATCCAACTCTCCCTCCAGAAGTAACAGCTGACAGTTTGATATTTCTTGATTCCATGTATGTGTGTAAATAGATACATATATTTAAGATTTATTTATTTATTTGAAAGGCAGAGTTATAGACACGCAGAGGCAGAGAGAGAAAAGTCTTCTATCTACTGGCTCACTCCCCAAATGTCCACAATGGCCAGAGCTGGGCCAATCCGAAGCCTAGAGCCAGGAGCTTTCTCTGGGTCTGCTATGTGGGTGCAGGGGCCCAAGCACTTGGGCCATCTTCTACTGCTTTCCCAGACACATTAGCAGGGTGTTGGATCCCTAGTGGAGCAGTTGTAACTCAAACCGGCACCCATATGTTATGCCAGCACTACAGGTAGCAGCTTTACCCACCAGACCACAGCGCCGGCCCCTGTAAATATATATTCTTGAGAGAGAGAGAGAGAGAGAGAGAGAGAGAGACTGTCCTTTGAAGATTCAGGGGCCCAGCCCTGAGGAAGCCAGGCCTGCCAGGAGAAAAACCCTGAACAGGAATTTGGCCTCTTTTGCTTTACTCTTCTTAAAGGAGGCACGAAATGTGCTTACCCCAAGCCTCACCTGGCAATCAGAACCTTCCACAGAATTGAAAGCATTACTATTTCATGGTGGGGACGGGGTTCCCCAGGGCCGGGGAACACCCCTCCCACCCGGGTACCTGGAACTCGTCCTCACGCATCCCGTGACATTCCTGTCTGCCACCTGTCCTGGCACAGCTGTGGAGAAGAGCAGAGCCGGGAAAACCCCTTGTCAGTGCCCCTGCTCCACCCCAGTTGAGACAGCAGTGGCCACCCTCTTTGGCCTTCCGGGGCTGTGGGGTCTGGAGGAGGGGGGAGGCAGCTGGAGGGGGAAGGCAGTGGGGGCAGGGGGGCCGCGAGGCCGCCTGGGGCGGCTCTGCAGTCTGCCCCCCCCCCCCCGGGAGAGGCTGGCTGCTGCGAGGGCGGCACGAGGGGACCAGCACCTGCCTGCCAAGCTGGGGCGCCTGGTCTGCGGCTGAAGGGGAGGCTGGGCCCAGCCACCTCCAAGCCGCAGTGGAGAAAGGAGCCTGGCCAAACCCCCAGAGAAAGATGCCCTTGGAGCATCTTCCAAGGTCACCGGTAAGAGCCCTGCTCCTCTAGGTGAACCCCAGGCCCTGTCCATGCAGCTCAGCCTCCGCCTGCCTGCAGAGTGTGTGTGTGTGTGCACATGTGTGTCTCCAGGGCCTGGCTCTCGGGGCAACTACAGAAAGTGTGTTCACTTCGAGAGATGGAGAAATCAATGGGGCTCCTGATAGAGAGCGCCATCCAGTTGGGGGCAGTGGCAGTACAAAGAATGAGGGGTCAGGGTGGGAAAGAAGAAGGGGCAGGTGGATGATAGGAGACACCCTGGGTGGGCGGGGGAGAGAAAGGGAAGAAAATGTGAGAGAGGGAAGAAAAGGAACCAAGAGTGAGAGCCAGGGAGGAAGGGAGGGAGAGAGAAGCAGGCAAAAGGGCAGAGCAAACTCAGGCAGGAGACGGAGACAGGAGGAAGGAAGGTGAGAAGAGAAGGCAGGAGAGTTTCCTTGTCAGTGTTCACATCAGCTGGTAGGTCTCAGTGTGGTTAGTGGGGACCTGAGGCGGCCGCGGGGAAGTCCCCTCCCTGAGGGCTGCTGGAGGGGGCGGGCCAGGCTGGGCAGGCTCTGTGAGCAGGTGGCCGCCCCTGGGTGGGGCTGCCCAGCCCAGCCCGCAGGGGTATAAGCAGGAGGTTGGGGCCTCTGAGCACCTGTCAGGGGCGGCTCCCCAGTGCAGGTGCCAGGCAGGTGGCTCCGCTGAGCCCAGCCCCAGCATGAGCTCCTTCGACCTCCCGGCGCCCTCTCCACCCCGCTGCAGCCCCCAGTTCCCCAGCATCGGCCAGGAGCCCCCCGAGATGAACCTGTACTATGAGAATTTCTTCCACCCGCAGGGCGTGCCCAGCCCTCAGCGGCCCCCCTCCTTTGAGGGGGGTGGCGAGTACGGGGCCGCCCCCAACCCCTACCTCTGGCTCAACGGGCCGGCCATGACCCCGCCGCCCTACCTGCCGGGCACCAACGCCGGCCCCTTCCTGCCCCAGGCCTACGGCATGCAGAGGCAGCTGCTCTCCAGCATGTCCGGGCTGGGGGGCAGCGACCTGGGCTGGCTACCCATCCCTTCGCAGGAGGAGCTCATGAAGCTGGTGCGGCCCCCCTACTCCTACTCGGCTCTCATCGCCATGGCCATCCACGGCGCGCCCGACAAGCGCCTCACGCTCAGCCAGATCTACCAGTACGTGGCCGACAACTTCCCCTTCTACAACAAGAGCAAGGCCGGCTGGCAGAACTCCATCCGCCACAACCTGTCGCTCAATGACTGCTTCAAGAAAGTACCGCGAGAGGAGGACGACCCTGGTAAGGGGGCTGGGGGCTGGCAGAGGCTGCCCTGGGCAAGCTGCTGGTGCCCCCAGGCAAGGCTCACTCCGTCCCTCCCCAACACCCGACCCTGGAAATTTCTAAATGTGGCTGCTATAGCATAGGGCTGGGGGGGTGGATCGGCAGTGGAGGAGGATGTGGGTCCCAGGGCAGATCTGGGTTTCGATCCTGGCTGTGCTGCTGCCCAGCCAGTGACCTTCACGGGTAGACCTCCCAGCCCAGTCTGCAAGTAGCTCGTGAGGGCCTCAGGGTCTGCAGTCACTGTCACGGTGCCCCTGCATTCCTGGCACCCGGCACACAGAAAGGCTTCGGTGAATGACACTGGAGCAAACGGAGCCCACGGGCACCCCAAGCCTGCTGGGAAGAAGACTTGACCTTTGCTGAATTATCACTAATGGCTGCACAGAGCCCCCTGCCTACCCCTACTAACACGCAAACCCCCTGTAGGCTAACTTGCATTGAACCCATTTTACAGATAGGGAAAGAACACTCAGGGCTGGAACAGCCTGCCTACTTAACTGATAGGGATGGGACTCGAGTTTAAAGAGGTCTCTCTGCTACCAGAGCGTGTGAAACTTTTCTATTTATCTGTGAATTTCTAAAATGCAGAGAGGAATGGATTAATATGTATGCTTCCACCTTGCAGAATCAAAATCCACTTTTGTTTCACTACAGGAAGCTCAGGGTATGGTTCAGAGGAACCCCCTCTGCTCCCTTGGAGGTTAGCAAGGGCCAGCTCTGTTTGTCCCCCAGGAAAGGGCAAGCGTCCTGTCCCAAGACAGTCCCCACCCTCAGGCCCCTCAGAGGGTCCCTCAGTGACAAAGCCTCTTATACATCTAGGGTCTGCTCTTGTTCACAAGGAGCTTGGGAAACAAGAAATTCTTATAATGGACCCACTTTACAGAGCAGGAAACTGAGGCCCACCCAAACTCCCTCAGCAGGTTAGGAGCAGGGTCAAGACTCTAGGCTAACTCCAAACCCCAAGCCTGGGACCATCGGGGAGTTCAGAAGTTTTTCTTGATCAAAGGAAGCCCTCCCTCCTCCCCAACTCCTGGTTGTCACCCCAACCCTGGCAGCCCTGTGCCCCTCTCCTCAGCCCATGGAGATCTACAGTCTAAATCCTGAGTCCCTGGCACTTCCTGCCCTGTGCTCCCAGCGTGGCTCCTTGTGGGGCGGGCGCTGGAGCGAGGGGAGGGGGCGTGGCTGGCGAGTGGTTTGTGGAACTCCTCTGCTCCTCAGCCCCTCTGGTTCTGCCTCTGCGTGTGTTCCCGAGGCTGTCAGCTTGTGATAAGGAGGCGAGCAGCCACAAGGCACGTGCCCACCTCTCTGCTCACTTGCTCTCGCTTTCCCATCAGGCAAAGGGAATTACTGGACCCTCGACCCCAACTGCGAGAAGATGTTCGACAATGGAAATTTCCGCAGGAAGAGGAAGAGAAAATCGGACGCTTCCTCCAGCACAGGCTCCTTGGCCTCGGAGAAAACCGACAGCAGCCTGCTGGCCCGCAGTCCCAAGAGCACGGAGCCGCAGGACATCCTGGACAGCGTCTCAACGGGAGCTCCCGGCTCCCCAGAGAAGGGGCCCTCCCCGCCCCCCTCGAGCACCCCGTGCCTCAGCAGCTTCCTGTCCACCATGACAGCCTACGTCAGCAGTCCCAGCCCCCTGGGCCGCCCTGGGGCCACGCCAGGACTGAGCCTCGAGCCCACTGACAAGATGGGGCCGAACCCACTGAGCTTCAACTCCTACACCCCACTCAGCAACCACGGGGGCGGGGGCGAGTGGGGCAACCCCGGGCCCCCCAGTGCCCTCGGCTACGGGGGCTCTGTCCTCAACCAGTTCAGCCCCCACTTCTACAACAGCATCAACACCAACAGTGTCCTCTACCCCCGGGAGGGCACCGAAGTGTAGACACAGGACAGCCCCCTTAGCCACGCGGACAGGCCCAACAGGGAAGAGCAGCCACGGTCTGCCAGGCCGGCTCCCCGGGGTCCCAGACCCAACCCAGGATGCCCAGAGGAACCCGTCCTCTTTCTAGAACATGGTGCAAACCTGCTTGTCACGCACACATACGCACACACAGACTGGCCAGCTTCTCCAGGAAACAACTGGTACCTGGACGCCAGCAACAATGGCAGTGGCCCACTGAGCACTTACGTGCGCAGTGCATAGTAGGCTCTTCAAAGGCAGGGTCCCACTGAGTGCTCACGGTCACCCTCTGAGGTTCCTGTGACCCTCCCCATCTAGCAGGTGAGGAAACTAAAGCTGGAGGAGATCGAGTAACTTCTGAGGTCAGGCAAAGCAGAAGAAGGTAGAGGGAGGAGTCAAATCCAAAGTCGGGCTGATGACGTGAGGGGCGGAGGAGCTCACCGAGCAGCTAAGGAAGGGCATGGTGAGAACCCACTTACGGCCAATAGATCAAAATCTCTCCACTGTCTCCCGGTGGGTCATGAGATGTCCACAGCAGCCCGGGCTCATCCTGTCCTGACCCGAGTCCCTGTCCCGTGCAGCCCAGCTTACCGGCAGCTGATCCTTTAGCTACCTCTCAAGGGCAGGTGCCACCAGCAGGCTTAGCTCGGGAAGCCCTGCCCCGGTGCACCTGCAGCATAACGCATCCGGTAGGTGCCATGCGCCCCCATGGAGGGACGCCCCAGCCCCAGCCCCCTGGAGATCTTGAACGGAGGTCACGGGTCAGTGAAAGGGCAGTGTGCACCCGCTCAGCCCCACCCTGGCACTGCCCATCTGTAAAATCTTGTGAAGCTCAGCTTCCTGTGTGCGTGTCATGGACCAGTGAGCTGGAGGTGGCTGAGTCTTCCAAGAGAAACAAGGCTGAATAAGCGCTCCCTTTTTTATAGCCCGGGAGAACTGGACGTTTCTCTGAGAAAACAATGGCCTCCAGGGAGGGGCAGCCGTCCTCACAGGGGGTCTGTGAGCAGCGCTCCTAGGGCTTCTCTTTCGTATTTCTCTAGGGATTTTATATGCCTATGATGTGTCATCACAGCCTGCCCTAGGAAAATGTTTGTTCTCTTAGTTTCTTTTTAATAAAAAAAAAAAAAAAACACTTTGGGCAGAAGTGTGTGAACCTTCCTTGGGAGTTTTTTGTCTCTCACCTTGCCCTGGTTCATTCAACCCAAGGCCAAGTGCAGCCCGAAACTGAAGGCAGAGAAAGAACAGGGCTCAAGATTCATGCCCTCCTCTACACTGGCGTGGAGACCAGACAAAGACCCCTGGTGGAAAGAGGGGATCCTGGGGTGGGGTGGGAAAAGACTGAACATACATAACCAGTCTTTACTGCCGAAGCTAACCTGGGCACTGTGCTGTGTTCACTTAACCCTGCTGCCAGTCCTGTGATGGGGGGCGGCACAGCCCCATGATTGAGGGTCAGAGTGACTGGGTGATTCACTCGAGGCCACGTGTGGTCTACACCCAGGTCCGTCTGACTCAGTGTCTCGGCAGCAGCAGCGCAGGCTGGGACGCAGCTAATGCTGGTCACAGTAACAGCAGTCCCATTGGCTACAGTTTGCTGAGGGCTGTAGGCAGGCACTGGGCCGAGTACCACGCAGGAGGACGTCTTTTGTCCTCACAGCAGCCCGTGAGTGTGTAGACTGCTGATTCCCGAGAGTCCTGGCACCCTGCGTGCTGGAGGACCCATGTGTGGAAGCTGGTGACCTTCCAGGTGGGACAGCCCTCCTCCGGTGAACAACAAGAGGGCTCGAGCCAGGGTAGCTGACCGCCTGGCCCACTGCCCACTCAGGTTCTGGGAGCTCTCTTTCCCGGAGAGACACAGGAGAGACAGTGACACAGTAAAAGCAGGGCAAACATGGCAATGACAACATTGTTCATCAGGCACCAGGCACTGTTAGGACCTGTTTTATTGCAGTTAAGCCTCAAAATAATCCAATGCAATAATATCATTATTCCCACTTTGTAGTGAGAACACTGAGGCCTGGAAGAAGTCTGTAGCTGGATCAAGGACACATGGGCAGAATTCGTACACACCTGTTGCTGCCATGGCTAAGACTTCTCCACAGCCCCTAGGACAGATGGGCCAGTGCATATCACCGAAGGGAGGGGTGCACTAAATCATGAAAACCAAGGAAAAAATGGGGTTCCCTTAGAAATCCCCAGATCCTGACCTGGGGTCTCCCTGTCTGCAGTGGGCCTGCTGGCAGATGCAATGCAGCTGATGAAGGGATAGGAAAGTGACGTGAGGCCTGACAAGCCCTAGACAACCCCTTGCTTCACGCAGAGGGAAGCCCAGGGCTTCCTCACCCCCTACTCCCAACCTTCGCTGGCTATCAAATAAGAACAGAATGCAGGTTCCTACGGTCCATCCAGGACTAGAAATTACTGCCCCCAGACACCTCAATGCCTTCTCTGTGCACTGATAAGCTCTCAGCCTGTCTTCAACCCCTGCTCCTCTCCCCAGGCTGGGCTGCAAAGGCCGAGGGACTGGGCTAGGAAGGGGATGTGAAGGGGCCCGAAGTAGCCTGAGCCGGGCCAGGAAGGGGCCAGCGATTTGGAGCCAAGGTCCACGACGTCAAGTCTCCATTCTTCTTGGCCCAGAATTGCACATGCACAGGAAGTGGAGGAGAGCACCGCACGGCGCCCTCCTGTAATGGTGCCCCGGAGAGGTCCATGGGAAGAACCGAGCTAGAAGGAGCCAGTGGACACTGTGGAAAGGTGGAGCCCGGGGCAAGAAGGGGTGTCTCCCATCAGCTCCCGCGGGCTGCTGCTGGTCCCTCTGGGTCTGTTCCTCTAAGAAGAGAGGAGAGCTGGGAAGAGATCTACCAAGCACTTAACCCCCGTGCAGCACCACGGACCGCCACGTGCACTTAGTAGCCTCCTTCTCTTTGCTCTGCAGTGAAGCCATGGCCCTCGGGATCAACAAAGGATCCAAGAAAATTGAGTGTTGCAGACACCGGGCAGACTGCATGGAGGAGGTGACCCTGGAGCTGAAGGGTAGTAGAGTGAGTTAAAGGAAACCACTGATTTACACACTCACCTGCGCACCACCCAGCTCTGTTCTCCCCACAAGCCCTGCGTTAGTCCACATTTCCAAGTTATGTGGAGGTGGGGAGGCATGCCTCAAGCAGAATGTAAGAGGAGTGTTCGCAGAGCTCATAGAAGATGCCCATTACAAAAAACAGGCATGGATTTCAATTTTTAGCCCCAAAGTTTTTATATTTTCATATGTTTCCACAAACTTTTTGATAGAAATGTATGTATGAGAATATACCATCATCTCATTTAATCTAGCAGGTCAAGTAGCAAGAGGAACGTCTGGAAATCCTACACACAGAATGTCAACACTGTCTGGTGGGTGACGGCATGTGATGGATTGGTTTTGCTTAGTATGCTGATTTGACGGATGGTGGACATCTGTCAGCCCCGCTCGCCATTCCTAGAAACTGCCTCCTCCTGGGCCAGCACCCGAGAGGCTCCCGGTTGGGATATGACCCTGCCGCCTTGCATGGCCGATTGGTGCTAGGGCAGCACCTGCCCCAGCGGAGCTCTTTCTGCTGTGGCTGAGGCATGGGTTCCCTTGGGTGGCCACCACTGGTTCCACTTTAAAATAAGTGGAGATCAAGGTGAGGCCAGCAGCTCATCTACAACCTGAGAGAGCCCACTGGGGTGGATGCTGTGGCACAGAGGGTTAAACAGCCCCTTGGGACAACCCACATCCCATACAGGGTGCCAAGTCCCTGCCACCCACGTGGAAGACCCAGATGGAGTTCCCCGCTCTTGGCTTTACCCTGGTCCAGCCCTGCTGTGTGGACATTTGAGGAGTGAACCCACTGATGGAAGATGCCCCCCCTCTGCCTTTCGAGTAAAGAAATAAATCTGTTAAAAATATTTAAATTAGGATGTGAGAAAATAATTAGCCAGGTGCTGAAATGTTGAAAGAGGACCATGGGAATAAGAGGCTAGGAGACGGGGTAGTTCCTAGGGGTGTGGGGGGAGTCAGGAAGGGGCGTAGCATTGCATTGTGTGGGTGTCTGTGTGTATGGTTGGGGGGCGGGGGGTGTTAGTGTCTGGAAAACTGTGCGAAGAGGACTTGTCGGGTGCTGGTAACTGTCTGTTATCTTAGCCGCGTGCTGGTCACACATACACTCACTCTAGGGAGATGTATTGGGCTTCCATTTGCAATTTCTGCCCTCTACCCGTACACGGACCTCAGTGGTACGCAGGTCGATGTTCCACAGCCGAGTGGTGAAGAGGTGCGGGAGCATCCCACGGAGTAAATTCCTCCTTCCCCGCTCACTTCCGCTAACCCCGGGCAGAGCCGGGAAGGCACGTGCAGTAGCACCATGTCAGTACTGTTTCCACCACACGGAGACAATAGCGGAGAGCGCAGCAGGTCCAGGGCATAGCTATTACTTCAGTGGGGGTAAAATGACAGCAAAGTGATTGTTCTGAGTACTTATTGATTACCTTTGCTTATACTAGGGTTTATTTAGCTGGAAGTTTATTTAATTTGATTTTTAATGATGGCTGTACTTGGCATAAATCTCCTCAAATACAAGTATCTTGAGGAATTAAGGCTCAGTTGCATAACACCTGGGGAATCTACATATTAAAGGAGAAGTAAGGGAGCCAGCACTGTGGTGCAGTGGGTTAACGCCATGGCCTGAAGCGCCAGCATCCCATGTGAACACTGGTTCTAGTCCCGGCTGCTCCACTTCTGATCCAGCTCTCTGCTGTGGCCTGAGAAAGCAGTGGAAGATGGCCCAAGTCCTTGGGCCTCTGCACCCATGTGGGATACCTGGAAGAAGCTCAAAGTCAAACTGCAGGGCTGGCACTGTGGCACATCAGGCTAACGCCCTGGCCTGGGGCACCTGCATCCCACATGGGCGCCGGTTTGAGACCTGAATGCTCCACTTCTGATCCAGCTCTCTGCTATGGCCTGGGAAGACAGTGGAGGATGGCCCAAGTCCTTGGGCCCCTACACCCACATGGGAGACCCAGAGGAGGCTCCTGGCTCCTGGCTCCTGGCTTTGGATCGGTGCAGCTCTGGCCATTGCAGCCAACTGGGGAGTGAACCAGCAGGTGGAGGACCTCTCTCTCTCTCTCTCTCTCTCTCTGCCTCTGCCTCTCCTCTCTCTGTGTAACTCTGACTTTCAAGTAAATAAATAAATCTTAAAAAAAAGTCAACTGCATACGAATTAGATGTTTCTGTATGGCAAAGCCTCCATCAAATAGAACAGTAAACACAAACAGACAGAAATGGTTCAGCATCCATGTTGAAAACTGAATAACCGTGTTATAGAAGGATATCTGGAAATTTGTAAGGTTAAAGTTTTCCTGGTTGAAAATGGACAGATTTATTTATTTGAAAGGGAATCCGTCTTCCTCTTTTGCAAGGACTATCAGTCCTATTAGGATCTTACTCTTATAAATTCACTTAACCTTAATCACCTCTAACAGCCCCATGGCAGTTAGAGCTTTAACATGTGAATTTGGGGTTGGGGGACAGCATTCAATCCACAACATTTGGCTGTGCAGGAGAGAAAATACTCTCCCAGAAAGAGTCGCTGGATAAACTTAGGGGCCAGCAGAACGGTGAGGCAGCTCTTGAAGTCAGCCCTTCCACCCAGGTCCCAGAGGCTGGACTTGCAGGGGAGCACAGACACCCCACAGAATGAAAACGTAGAGGGGCCAGCGCTGCGGTTTAGCGAGTAAAACCTGCGACGCCAGCATCCCATAGGGGTGCGGTTAGAGACCTCGCTGCTCCGCTTCCAATCCGGCTCTCTGCTACAGCCTGGGAAAGCAGTAGAAGATGGCCCAAGTCCTTGGGCCCCTGCACCAGCGTGGGAGACCTGAAAGAAGCTCCTGGCTCCTGGCTTCGGATTGGGGCAGCTCCGGCCGTTGCGGCCATCTGGGGAGTGAACCAGTGGATGGAAGACCTCTCTCTCTCTGCCTCTGCCTGTCTCTCCTTCTCTCTCTGTGTAACTCTTTCAAATAAACAAAAAAAAAAAAAAAAAAAAAAAAAAAAGATGTGGTCCTGACCCTGGCTCCCTGGCTCCCTGCTCCTGCCTTTCTTGTC